TGAAACGACTGTCTAGCCGGGGGCACACCCTGGGGTGCCGATTGTTGGATGCAGTTGATTCTCCAAAAGAGACTGCCTAGATGTGGTCTGTTGGCCTACGTACATGAATGATCATGATGAGTGACGGAGAACTTTATGAAACCCAGTATGGATTGCTCATCAGCTTTCCTGCAGAGTGAGATGTTTGCACATGCTTGCACTGCACAGAGAGAGAGAGAGAGGGAGAGGCAGACACAAATCATTTTGGATGATGGGTGAATATGGTAAAGTGCGAATGTGGTTTGTGTCAACAAATCATTTTGTTCCAGAGGCATTGGCGTCTTCAAGAGGTTTGAATTGCTCTCGGCTTCAGAGCAAGTATCCGAAGACAACAACAGTCGTATTTAATTATTAGGAGGGCAGAAATAGATGCTGGATGCTGAACACAGAATGTCCAGCTTTGCTAGACAGGTGCCAAAATTTGCCAAGACCCCCAAGGAAGTGGCATCGGCCTACCAGATTGTAGACGACCTCATAGACATTCAGCTGTCAAATCTCACTTATGCATCTGGGCGTGTACATAAGGCCTGTTGACTGGTTGCAGAGACGAAACCACATGACTCGCATACCTTGCTGATTTGGGACCATTGCACCTGAGCAGACAAGTTGACAATAGAGGATGTGACCAGACATGGCTCGAAACTTAGATACTCAAAAAACAGAAGATGAAATGTGCCATCGCCGTAAACGACTTTGGCCCGGACTGCATGCTCACTTATTTCTGACAGGACATTTTTTCATCCTCTGAGGTCTTGAATGATGGTGGCAAGGACGTAAAGATCCTGGATGGGACAAGCATGCAACTCAAGCAGGGTCACTTGGATGCATTTGGCCTGCTTGTGCCAATGTGAACCTGCCCAGGCTATCAACATTTGATCGTTTACTTTTTCTTTAATTCCTGGCTCGCAAGCTTGAGACCAGCTGAAGACGGTTTTTAGGCTACACAGCTGCGCGCAGTGAGGGAAGCTGAACCCAAAGGTTTCCTCATACTTTCTTGCGACTCCAGTGACAGAAAAGCAAGTGTTTCCAAGCGCTTCCTCAAACATGCTCCACGTTGCACAGCAGCCAGACGAGGCAAAATCACCTGCATTGCTAGCGTCTTTGCTTCAATTGGAGCCGAGAGTGATGGGGGGCTCCGTCCTCATGGTTCTTTGGGTTTGTAAATCCATTTACAAGTTCCAAGCAATTTTTGTTTTGTGACGCGATGGACTCGAAACCTCCAAGTCACCTGACCACAAACTCAACATAGACCAAGTTTCTTTAACAAATAGAGCTGTCTTTTTTACGGTTGGTTCAAATGAATTTCAAATTATCTCTCTATATATATATACATACATCCTTTGATGATTGACATTCTCACTTTCAACAGGCCTTCCCATTTTCGGAATCCTATTGACAAAAGACATAATATATATATACACATATACCCTCTTTCGACCATGGAGCTATCGGCTATCTCTAATGTCAGTTGACAGATATGCTGCACGATATGTTGCTATCATAGGATTATATAGGATCATGCTACACACACAACAGCGGCACCGCTTCGCTGTTTTCTTCATTCTGCTTTATGGGGGGTCAGGCGCGTTGCGAATTCCTTCGCCACCAAGGTGGTGAGCGCCAGGCAAGTGTCTGTGTGTGTGTGTTGAAAGAAGAATCAGCCGATGAGTTGAGCCGTATGCTACATGGGCAGGTAATTGACCTGTAAGCCACAAGCGTGATGAGTCATGATCACCGAGGTACTGTTCCTTTGGTTTATATAGAGAACTAAGATATCTTAAGCTACACATTTCTGCGTGTGTTTATCATGTTTTCCAGGCAGGGCTGGGCCAAATGATGCTTGATGTTGCTTCATGTTGCTTGAGACATGAGGAAGCCCAATTCATCCTAATTCTGTTTCTGGCAAAGACTCACAGTGGCATGTTCAGATGGCTTTCATGAACAAGGGTGGTGGATGGGTGGATGCACATGTCGAGGTCGGATTTGTACAAGGGAGCATAAACGGACAAGTACATTGTCTTCACACCACTTCAGCCTGAAGCACTTCTCAAAGCCAACGTCACGAGTCACAAGTCATTATTTGACCCGAGTTGGTCAACATTGGCTCAACAAAAAGCTCCACCACCATCACCTATTTGCATCCACTCGTGACCGGCTCGTCTCAGGGAAAGTCAACTGTGCTGCGGATCATCGCTGGAGCGTTGAAGCCCACCGAAGGCACCGGAGGAGAGCGAAGGAATCGCGTGGACACCCACCGATTGGGTCGCGAGGGATCCTTCCTCACCGGGTGATCGCGGAAGAATCGTCCGAGTTTGGCGAAGTCAAACATCGGCCAATCCGTTTTAGCACTGAAGTCAGAAATCCAATTTGTACTCCTTGGTGATGTTTGGGCTTGCCCAAAGCGTTGAAAAGTCCATCACATGGTTTATGGTGGACGAAGGTTCTACTCATTATATATATATATGACTCTTCTACAGTTGTAAGTACATGTAAGTACCTGGTTCTGCTTACCACTGACTTCTTTCGGTGAATCTTGTCGGCCTCGCAACAGGCTATGTCTTCGTCCCTCCACACCTGCAAGTGCTGCAGGCTGGGTTCTGGACCGAATGCCAAATTACACGCGTCGCGTTTGATGGTAGGACAGTGTTTTGATGTCTTTTGTAGCTCATGTTCCATCATCTGATCATATCTTACAGTACTCGTTTCGACCGTGTGAAACCACTATCGTGATTGACAGCCATTCACTTGACAGTGGGTCCCGACGCCGAAGAGACAGACGCCTGAGGTCGAGGACACGCCGAGCTTCCTTCCACATAGCCTCAAGTCGAACCTGATCTTTGGAGTCTCCGATGACGATCTCAGCTTGGCCACATGCTCATGACGGTGGGGGGAACTGGATTTTCGTGAAGCTATGGAGATCCATGCTATTTAACTGTTTGTGGGTGTCACGACGTGGCCTGAAGATCCATCATTGCTCTGCTATCAAATGGGAGCCCTAAAGCCACAAAAATATAATGAGCTGGTCTTGACTCATTACCAGACGATGGGCAGATTACTTGACACCTGACATGATATAATGGGCCATGAATCAGATGGGGGGAATGCACCACCGTAGTATCCGACATCCTTTTGTCAATTTGACGACTAGGTCGGAAAAGACACGTCCAGAACTCAAACAGGTGTTGGAGTCGTTGCAAGACCCATGAATGCAGCTGGGAGACGACGATACATAGAAGCTATGGACTGCCGGCCTCAAATTGACCTGCAAAGCGCCACACCTTAAATCATCCACTATTGCTGCTTCACATGCAACCATGCACTCATTGAGGGTTTCAAGGTGAGGGTTGAGACTCAGTCTACATCCCTTTTGAAGGGGGTCCAACAATGTCTGTTGCCGTTGCCGCCCACAAAGGGATGTGTGTGTGTGTGTGTGTCCACCCCTGGACAAAGGGTTTTCCACCGCTACTCCTTC